AGGTCAATATTAAAAAAAACAAACAACCCAATCTAAAAATGGGCAGAAGACCTAAATAGACATTTCTCCAAAGAAGACACACAGATGGCCAAGAAGCACATGAAAAGCTGCTCAACATCACTAATTATTAGAGAAATGCAAATCAAAACTACAATGAAGTATCACCTCACACCAGTTAGAATGGGCATCATCAGAAAATCTACAAACAAATGCTGGAGAGGGTGTTGAGAAAAGGGAAGCCTCTTGCACTGTTGGTGGGAATGTAAATTGATACAGCCAATATGGAGAACAGATGGAGGTTCCTTAAAAAACTAAAAATAGAACTACCATATGACCCAGCAATCCCACTACTGGGCATATACCCAGAGAAAATCATAATTCAAAAAGACACATGCACCCCAATGTTCATTGCAGCACTATTTACAATAGCCAGGTCATGGAAGCAACCTAAATGCCCATTGACAGGCAAATGGGTAAAGAAGACGTGGTACATATATACAATGGAATGCTACTCAGCTATAAAATTGAACGAAGTTGGGTCATTTGTAGAGACATGGATGGATTTAGAGACTGTCATACAGAGTGAAGTAAGTCAGAAAGAGAAAAACAAATATCGTATATTAACACATATATGTGGAACCTAGAAAAATGGTAAAGATGAACTGGTTTGCAGGGCAGAAATAGAGACACAGATGTAGAGAACAAACGTATGGACACCAAGGGGGGAAAGTGGCGGGGGGTGGTGGTGGTGGTGTGATGAGTTGGGCGATTGGGATTGACATGTATACGCTGAAGTGTATAAAATTGATGACTAATAAAACCTGTTTAAAAAAGTAAATTAATTAAATTTAAAAATTTAAAAAAAAAAAAAAAAAGCTATTGGAGCAGTTTACTAGGTGTAATAACAGGAGACTTTTCTTTTCTACCCACTACAACCTCTGGACTCTTGGGCTTATGAGATATATCACAACACTGTCCTCTGATTCAAAGCTTGTACTGCATCCTGTAAGATAGAAGCCCATTTAAAAAAACAAAAACAACAACAAAATAAACATATAGCAGCTATCATCGTGAGCTATTAGAAACTGAAGTGGAAGCCCATCCACAGGGGAAGGGCGCCTCTCATCATCATTTTCATTTTAGGGCCATAAATGAAGATGTAGTGCTTATGTGTGTGTGTGCATGGGGGAAAGAGATCTCCATCAACATCAGCTGAGCACTTATCATGTACCAGGCTCTATGCTGAACATTGGCATTCACACAGTCCTAAGGGAGAACTCCTATTATCATTCCATTTGACAGATGAGGAAATAGAGGCACACAAGAGTTTTATTGATAGCAAAACTGATATTTCAACCCGGGTCGAAGCCCATGTGAAAGAAAGCTTCCTGGAAAAGTTGGCCTTTGAAAGGAATAACATGCAGGGGGACAGGCAGGCTCAAAGACAGGAGGCTGGATGGGGGTGGGGGTGGGTGTTAGAGGGTGCTGCAAGCTTGAGATAGTGGCTCCAATGCATGTTTTTCACACCACAAAGCAATTCTGACATGATCTACCTGGAGATTCCACAGGTTATGGGCTAAGTCCCGCAGGACTGCTCCCATTCCCCAATTGTGATGTCAGTCACAAATTCAGGGTATCACCCGTGCCTCTGACCAACAGGCTATAGGCACTCCTGTTGCTTGGGAAATTCCAAGGGTTTGAGGAGCTTTGTGCCAGGAACAAGGGACAGAGACCAGATGCATTTCTTATTATACCACAGGGGCTCTAACAGGGAGAGAATTGACAGAGGATTAGGAGAGTGAGGCAAGAAGTAGTTGCATCAGGGCCCACTTTATTTTCTCCACACTAGAGCCTGCCTGGGTCACCAGAGGCTGCCAGCCCTGGGAGGGGATCACCCAGGCAAGAGAACCCTAGACTTTCTGCTGCTTTCTGGGACCCTGCTTGCCCAGAGGGCCCCACTCTGGACTCCCCAGGCCCTGGGTATGGTTCCACACAGAAAATGAGGTGTCTGTGAGAAAGCTTCAAGATTTCTAAAAGCCTATAAGAGAATATTACTCAGCCATAAAAACGAATGAAATATTGCCATTTGCAGCAACATGGATGGACCTAGAGATTATCATACTAAGCGAAGTCAGATAAAGACAAATATATGATATCACTAACATGTGGAATCTAAAAAAATGATACAAATGAACTTATTTACAAAATGGAAATAGACTCACAGATATAGAAAACAAACTCATGGTTACCAAAGGGGAAAGGGGGAGGAAGGGATAAATTAGGAGTTTGGGATTAACATATATACACAACTATATATAAAGTAGATAAACAACAAGGACCTACTGTATAGCACAGGGAACTATATTCAATATCTTGTGAGAACCTATAATGTGATAACCTTTTTACAAGAGAATCTAAAAAAGAATATATGTATATATATATACACACACACATATATAACTGAATCATTTTGCTGTACACCTGAAACATTGTATGTCAACGATACTTCAATTTAAAAAAAGAAGAAAAAAAAAGCCTAGAAGAACCGTACATTTGCTTGCAAAAAGGCCAGAGGCTAACTAATACAAGTTTCCTCATTTCTGGCTGGAATTTTCCCAGCTCAGTGTAGCAGTTGTGGATGAAAAAATTAATAGTCGATCTAAGAAAGAAATGGAAAATTTTACTGGAACCAACCTGAGGATTCTAACCTGGGAGACAGTCTTTCAGAAAGCTCTAAGGACTGTTCCACCCATTAGAGGTCAAAGCACAGTTATGTACATTTTGAGACAAATATACATCAAATGACGCATTATTGACAATTTACACAATCCAGATCTGTACGTATAAAGCGAATAGTGGGTCATGTGTCATCATGGCCCCTTACGAGATTAAGAAGGAAGGTTATCTCCTAAGGAGGTCTGGTTAATGCAGATGCACGACACACACTTAAGGGGAGGGAGGAGGCCCAAACCGGCAAAGAAAACTTTTGTTTAAATTTGTTCTTGTCTTGCCATAAAATATGAATTTTATTTCATCACAGTGATGACTGATGTCCTACTAATTAGAACTGTTGGTTCATTCTGTCCACTGAAAAAACACACAACTTAAGAGCGGGAGCAGTGAGTTTCAGTTTTATTCAGGGACTGTACTGAGGACTGTAGCTCGGGAGACAGCCTCTCAGAGAGCCCTGAGGAACTGCTCCAAAGAGGGAGGGGAGGGGCCAGTATGTATATGAATTTTTTGGTGGAAAATACATGTAGTTAAGCATTAAAAAGGTTACTGCTAATCACAAAGTTAATGATTTTAGTGCTTATCTATCTATGCATAGGAAAATGCAAGAATCTGGGGGTCATTGAAATTCTTCCTGAGGTAAGCATCTTAACTATCAAGGGGCCTTTATACCCAAAATACAGAAGCTTCAACCTGTTTTTTCCATCCTGAATTCCCCTCAGAGTGCATTGTCATGGGTGACTACACTACCACTGGTAAGTGGGTTGCAACTTAACCCTTTGTATAAGGGGATGATGAGTGACACCCTTTGTTTGTTTGTTTGTTTTAATTTTTATTGGAGTATAGTTGATTTACAATGTTGTGTTAGTTTCAGGTGTATAGGAAAGCGAATCAGTTATACATACACATATATCTTTTTTTTTAAGATTCTTTTCCCATATAGGCCATTACAAAGTACTGAGTAGAGTTCCCTGTGCTATACAGCAGGTTCTTATTAGTTATCTATTTTATATATAGTACTGTGTATATGTCAATCCCAATCTCCCAATTTATCCCTTCCCCTGCCCTTATCCCCTGGTAACCATAAGTTTGTTTTCTACATCTGTGCTTTGTTCTAGTTGTTTACAATTCATAGGTACATCTTTTAAATAAATCAAAGGAGAAAGGTAAGACATTTCTTTCTTAGAAGTCAGATTTACTGAGATATGATTTATACACAATAACATTCACCTTTTTAAGTAACAGTTCAATGATTTTTGACAAACACATACAGGTGTGTAACCATCACCACAATCAAGACACAGAACATTTCCATCATCCCAGAAAGTTCCCTTGTGTCCCTTTATAGTCAACCCAGAACCCTACTCCTAGACCTTGCCACCAGTTATGTTTTATGTCCTATAGTTTTGTCTTTTCAAATATCACAGAAAATGGAATTCAGATAGTATGGTTTGTTGTGAACATATAGTTTCATCTTTTTTAGTTAAATACCAGGAGTGAGACAGCTGGGTTGTATGGTATAATGTTAATTGTACCAGGAATTCCCAAACTGTTTTCCAGTGTGGTTGTACCATTTTACATTCCCATCAGCACTGTGTGAGAATTCCAGTACTTGGGCTCAGGGCTTTGTTTTCAGCAATTCAAATAGGTGTGTAGTGGTATCTCATTTTGATTTGAATTTTCTTAATACAAGTTATTCTTTTTTAATAAGCAAGACTTGTCTGGAGACACGGTGTTTCAAACCTTGGGGCATCCTAATTTGCTGGCTTTGCCTGATACAGAGAGTCGGGAAGATCTTTCCCTGTCCCGTGTTGGCAGGGACCTGCACTTCTCGCATCCAGTCAGTAGAGGGCAGGAGAGGACAGAAAATAAGCCTCCCAGTTTTGGACTATCAGGGGCCAGCATGGATAATACTTGGATGCACTACTGTATTTATAGTTTTTCTCAAATGCCTCTCCCTCTGAACCTCTTTAGCTGCCACCTTGTGAGGCTTGAGTCCCCAGATTAATCTTGTGAAGTGATTCAAGGCCAAACCTCTTAACCAACCTTGTAAAATCCTAAGAACTGAATTACCCAAACTGAGCCACCTTTGTAGAGTCCTTAATACGTCTACTCTCCAACGTCACTCACCAGAGCCTGTGTTAGGGGGAACCACAGGCAGCTGAGTTGGTGAACCTCTGTCCTTCTTCAACTTTTCAGGAGCCGAAAGAGACTAAGGAAGGTCTTTGTGGGGGACAAGTCTCCAGACCGCCCCCGCGCCCTGGCATTGGCTACACGCCCTCCTCTCCAGGACCTGGGTTGGGGCAGTTCAGATGGGGCACGGCACAGATCTTCTGGGGCCGGGGCTGCCGAGTGCCCCCAAAGACGTACTCCCGCCTGAGCCCTGGGCTCCCCTCTGGCAGTTGGAACCAAAAGGTCCTGAGGAGGGTGGCAAACATCAGGAAGAGCTCCATCCAAGCCAGCTGGTCCCCTAGGCACACCGATGCCCTGTGTGAAGGAAAGGTCAGAGGGTGGCAGCTGTCCCTGTGCCTGTCCTGTCACACCCACCACCCATGACCCAGTGCTGTGTCCAGTACCTGCAGAGAATGGCAGGAAGGCCTCACTGACCAGGAAGTTTCCATCCTTGTCCAGGAAGTGGCCAGGGTTGAATTGTTGGGGGTCTCCCAACACTCAGGGTCATAGAGCACAGAGGCCAGGTTGGACAAGATGATGGTGCCCTCCAGAGAGGAGCTGGTATGGCTCAGGGAGCTCAGCTGGCCCAGCACCCAGCCCTGATGCTGGGCTGATATGAGCTCAGAGAACACTCGGTGTGCAGAGGAGAGTTGCCTGGGACCAGGGGGCCTCAAAGAGATTCAGCAGACAGGCCTTCACATCAGTGAAGTTGTTGGGCATTATGCTCTCCCGGCTAAGGGGCACCCACCTCCATCCTAAAGACTCCTGGCCCAGGCTAGAGACTCAGCTTCTGCCTCCTAGGAAGAGGGCCAGTGGCTATTGGGCATGAACGGAGGGGACCAAGTTCTGCACAGGGCAATGAATACTGGTGGTGTGTGTGTGTGTGTGTGTGTGTGTGAAAGAGAGAGAGAGAGAGGAGAAATGGAATGGCAGACAAACAAAGTGAAAGAAAGACTGAGTAACAAGGCAGATACAAGAAGAGACAGAAAACTTCAATCCTTAGGATTAGGGAGAGGAGAGAGTGACCTCTAACCCTAACCTAACCCGAGCCCTCACTCTACCTCAAAGAAGTGAGTAACTGGAAAGAGAATCAGACTGAACAGATGGGAGAAGAAAGGAGCCAAATGCTCCTGTTGGTGACTTCAGCTCCTTATCACGTGGGCCCTGGGCTGACCAGGAAGCCAAAGTGGAACCAGGATGGGGTTGGCTATGGACCCGGGACCTGGGAGGTGCAGCTCCAGGTGCTCTGAGGAAGGCCTCATAGCCTGTGGCTCATTAACCAACACCAGAGAATTAAACTGGTCACCCCTGTGGGGACTAGAGAACTAACTGGCCACGAGATTCTCAGTTTTGACAAAGGCATCTTGAAATTAAAAACTCAGCAGTTTGAAGCCTGCACACCAAAGAGAAGCCGGTGAAGAATGCAGAAGTTCAGACAATGTAAATACTTTCAGAAGGCACTTTTCTTTTTTCTTCTTCTTCTTCTTTTTTTTTTTTGTTTTTTAGTTGCTCTACTGAAGCCTTAAGGGAGGGGCCTGACCTTAGCCATCCAGACTGACAGGCACCCAGACCTCTTTACTCCGTGGCTTTAATCAGAGGGATTGGGAAGCACGTGTTCTCGCTGCTGCCTGAGTGAGCTGTTTGTTTCTTAGTTATAGTCCTGGGAATTTCCCTCCATTTTCACTACCAGGGATGAAGTAACCTCTGCATTACAACAGTTCTTAATAATCACCTTCAGATGCAGAGGCTCCTGGCAAGATGCTCTTTTCCCTCCAGAATTATTTCTATCCTGTTCTGGGTAATGTTCTGGACTCCTTGCAAAGTGATTAACTTATATTAATTTGTGGGACAGGCTCAGACCATAGCCTACCCAGCACACAACATGGGCAACCCTCCTTCTCCTACAAATTATAGAGCCATCTGCCTGCTGGATACCTCCTGGGGATTCTATCCCAACTTCTTCCCAGTAAATGGCAGCTTGGAGCTTACAACCAAATAGAATGTCTGAAGAGAGACAGGCTTGAAGCGCCACCTCTGTATTAGGGACCATTGCTGTTGTCGCTGTCACTCGACTGAACCGTTTAGGAATATCTGTAACATTTACTGATCTACTGTCAAGCTTTGATTCTACTTTCAGGAGACATCTCTCGCCCAAGTTGGAAAAGCTCAGTATTGATTCCAGGCTGTTAATGGCTCCCTGGAGCTCTTATCACAGAACACCTCCTAGAATCAAATTGGCAGGAATGGGCTATTAATAAGGAAATTTCTAATCCCAAACGACATGAAGCAGAGCTGAACCTTAGTTCCCTCCTTTTTAACTTGACCTTGGAACAACTCTTGGACAACCAGGGCCTGGGGGCTTCTACCAGGATAACAGCAAAATGAGTTGATGACATGGTCCTATCCTCACAATTAAGGAGACATTTGTCTAACCTCTGAACTTGATGGCCAAATACTGTCAAGGACTGTTCAGTATTAGCCAATCTGGCAGACCAATAGACAATGCAAAACACCTCCTTCCAACATGCTGATTCACTTAACTTCCTAAAGAGGCATTTCTAGAGCAATATGAACGGCAGGGAGTATGGTAGAGCAAAATATTTGGAATCAGAGGGACATGAATTCGAAACTCAGTTAAGTACCTTACTAACTGTGTGTTTGCGGCAGTTACTTGAGCTCTCTTAAGCTATCTGTTAAAAAAAAAAAAGATTAACAGTAGCAACAGCATCTAAAGGACAGGGTTATTATGAAGAAAAAAATGCATGGAGTCAGGAATCTCAAGTCTGATCAAATTAATAAGAATTTAATAATCACATCCTGGCAGGGCCCTTCCTGTCAAGTCTTCCCTGAACCATGGTTGTAAAAGTTGAACAAAGATTCTCATGATGGAAAAAATTGGGCCCCCATACCTTCTATCCCCATTGTTTTCACGGTGTACCACCTTGTACCATTGAGGCTTCCTCCAGGGACAGGCTGGAGCATCAGTGCTGAGCCAAAGTCCCTTTCTGAGGAAAGTCTTAACACAGCGCACCTCTGTGCATAGGGCACCAAGATGAGTGACTCTGTTTCATCTTCATTAAAATGGCAACCTTGCCACCTACACACCTGTGCTACATTTCCTTTAAAATGACACCCCACTCCCAAAATGATTCATGATGCCTGGCATTCACTCCCCGTACAACCATCTCCCCTTGACGGTGGGCTGGCTCTAGTGACTCACTTCTAGCAAATAGAATATGGCAAAAGTGATGGGATACCACATCTGAGATTAGGATACAAAAAGACTGTAGCTTCTGTCTTCTCACTTGCTCTCTCTAGTGAAGGTCAGCCGCTATGTTTTGAGCTGCCCTATGTAGAGGCCCAATGTTAAGGAACTGAGGGTGGCCTCCAGCCAACAGCCCAGGAGAAACTGAATCCTGAAGAAAGCAATGCAAGTGCTCTGACAGTGGAACCTCCCCATGGAGCCTTCAGATAAGACTGCAGCCCCAGCCAACAACTTCATCATAACATCATGAGAGACCTTGAATCAGAGGCATCCAGCTAAGCTGCACCTACATCCCTGACCCACAGAAACCCAGATCCCCAGCCCACAGAAGTGCTGTTTTTGTAAGTTGCTAAGTTTGGGGGTAATTTATTACATAGCAAGAGAGATAGACAACTGATTCAATAAATATCTCTTATCTAGGATCTGCATGACAGTCAGTCATTGTGAGGACTGAGTGCTGTAGTGGACTCAAAGCCCTTAGCACACAGTAAGGCTTGGAAAAGAGCAGGAATTATGATGTTATGATCCAGTTCATGTCAGAAACCTGCACAGAAACCTGTTTCAAGCTGAATCACCAGAGAGCTACAAACCTGAAATCTATTTTTTAACTCCATGCAGAAATGTGTTCATGTTAAACTTTCATCGTTTAAAATGGGTTGAAGAGGGCTTCCCTGGTGGCGCAGGGGTTGGGAGTCCGCCTGCCGATGCAGGGGATGCGGGTTCGTGCCCTGGTCCGGGAAGATCCCACATGCCGTAGGGCAGCTGGGCCCGTGAGCCATGGCCGCTGAGCCTGCGCATCCGGAGCCTGTGCTCCACAACGGGAGAGGCCACAGCGGGGAGAGGCCCGGGTACCGCAAAAAAAAAAAAAAAAAAAAAAAAAAGGGTTGAAGATAAGAAGAAGCTACCATATGAAAGAATATTTCTGTGTCTTTAAACTCCTACTGAAGGCACCACCCAATACATCGTCCACGGGCCCTCAAAAAGGTATTCTGATTGATGATCTTCATAATAACTTCTTGAAGGGTGATAAGCCAGTTTTCCTGATTCAGGCATGCCTCCTTTTATGACATAATGCGAGTCATACCTAATCGGGATTTCCTTTTTTGACTTGATCCAGGGAAGCTCAGACTCAAGTTTTATGTACATATACAGTGGCTGTTCTTGACCTAAACAGTTTGATTTAACTTTATTCCTCTATCTCTCCTTATTCAGTACTTGTTCTCTTAACCTAGTTATAAAATGAAAGAAATGAGAAAGGCGTTTCTACTAGAAATCAGTTCTAAGGATATAACACAAAATGCAGACCAAGCCTAAGGCACATAAATGGCAAATAGGCTAAAAGTTCACCAATAAGGGTTAAGAATTAGAAAACATCCATCTGGTGGAACATTATGCAGCCATTTAGAGTGACGTGGAACAGTGGTTTTCAAAATGTGGTCCCGGGGCCCAACACATCCACACCACTTGGGAACCTGTCAGAAAGGCAGATTCTCAGGCCTCACCCCCAATATTCTGGGAATGGCTCCCAGCAACATACATTTTAGCAAGCCCTGCATGTGATTCTGGTGTACCTAGAAGTTTGGGAACCAGTAATGTAGAAGAATCAGAATGATATGTTAAGTGAAATGAAGGATTCAGAGTTATACATTCAGCATAATCACAGCTACGTAAAATATATGTGGACAAAAAAGACTGGAAAGAGGTGCATTAAAATGTCTGCAGGGGTTACTTCTGAACAACACAGAACATTTAAAAATATCCCTAATTGAGTGTATTCTTTCGCAATCATAACTCTCCATCCGGAATGCCATGGATAGAGATGAAGGGATGGATGGATGCATGATTGACTGAGTTGGCAGACAGGCAGAAGCTGTAGCAGGTGGCTGTGCTGGGCAGGCAGCCCAGCGAAGGGTGCTTTCTGCAGGCACTGGATCGAGCATGAGGTCACACTGGGGCCACCTACCTTGGGCACGGGGTGGCCGTGCACATGGGTGGAGGTCACGCACTGGCGCACGGCATCTGTGGTCACGACGCGGCTGAGGCGCTGCACCTCACGGACGGTGCGGGTGTAGGGCAGTAGCTCGCGGTCCTAGTAGCGGATGGCCTGGGAGGTGCCCAGCACTGCATCCAGTTCCCGCTGCACCCTCTCTGCAGGCGGCTCTGCGTGGGTCCCGGGAAGGGCTGCAGCCCGACCTCCCCACCACGCCCTACCGTCCTCGTCCCCACCCAGAGACAGTCGCCAAGGTTCATCGCCCCTAGGTTGCCCTACCCCACTCAGCCACCCCTGGTCCCAACAGTGGCAGTCCCTCTCTGAGGCAGAGCTTGTGAACAAGATTTTGCAGGACTTGCTCCTCCGAGGGGAACTTGAGGGAAGGGCTAGGACCCAGATTTCAGCACCCACTGTGTGCCAAGTGTTCTATATACAAAGAGTCCTATGGGGTAGGAACTGTTGTCTCCACTTTACAGACAAGAAAACTGAGGCTGTGACAGGACCGGTACTTTTCTGAAGGCCACAAAACTAGTGGAACCAGGATCTGAACTCAGGTCATGGCCAGTTTGTCCCTGAGAGAACTCTAGCCGCCTTTCTTTCCTTTGTGATCTTGGTGGACATTGACACAGGGCCTGGCACTTAGTAGGTGCTGGATCATTACTGAATGGGTGAAATAATGTTGCCTCATTTCACACTGTTCCTAAGTGGTTGAATTACTTACCCAGGATCACTCAGTCAGTAGCAGGGTGGGACTAGAAGTCCCCACCCCCCAGCCCCTCCATCTGATTCAAAGCCATGAACACCTCCTACACCACAGCAGTGAGAGCAGGACCCACCCCTGGGGCCACAGACCAAAGACAGTGATGGGGACAGGTTCCTTCAGCCCAGAAGCCCACAGCAGGGGTAATGGGCATGGGGCAGTCAGCAGGGTGTAACCATGGCCCCCTTACCCCGGATGGCTCCATGCTGGACCACGTAGATGAGTGCCCAGCACAGGGTAGTGGCCGTGGTGTCGGTGCCTCCCAGAAACAGGTCGACCACTACCTGGATCAGGTTTTCTTCATTGAATGTAGAGACAGGGTCGTCCGTGGCCTGGTGGGTGGGGGATGAGTGGTGGGGAGAGCAGCTCTGAGTCTGAAGCTCTCCTCTCACAGAGCCCTGGCATCTCCCTGACTGAGGCCTGGCCTGTCCCTAAACTTGTGGGACCAGAACTCCTCTGGGGTCAGAAGGGCCTGAGTCCCAGGACTGCACTGACTTTTGAGGGGAAAACTGCCCTGACATCAGCCAGGTCCCCTGCTTCCCACCCTACCCATGTCTGCAGGAGCCAGCGCCGGCCTGGGTAAAGATAGGGAGGGAAAAACCCAAACGGCTGCTGCTTCAGCGTGTTCTGAAAAACTGAGGTCAGGATGAGGAACTGAGGCCGTGGCCTTGAAATGAGATGCAGCCGGGAAGGCAGCCCCCTCCGTCCCTCCCTCCCTCCGTCTGCAGCTGTTTCAGGCCCACCTTAGTGATCTGGGCCAGGTAGCAGCTGATGAACTCCTTGGGGGCCTCAGGTGTCCTGAGTTTGTGTCTGCTGATCTCCCGGCAGATATAGCTTCGCACAGCCTTCTGGTACCTAAACATCTCCTGGTGGGGGCCTGGGAGGCGGTGGAAGGCCCAGGGGAACCGATCATACAGCTGTGGGGGAAGAGGCCTGCCCAGGGGCTGCTCAGGTGCTGACCCTGAGCCAGGGCAGCTCAGAATGGTGCTGGGGGCACCAAAGTGGTCTGGAACCTCTGACATGGGCATCCCAGGACCGCTCGTCATCTGGAAACTCTCCACACTCCCAAAGTAATCTAGACAGTAATGAAGGCAGTAGTAGCAGAGACTGGACCCAGGGCTCAGCTAGGATGTTGCAGGCCCAGACAGCTGTATTTAAGGGGGTTTAACCTGTCTCTTACTCCCTGCCCACACTTCCATGCTCAACCACAATAAAGGAACTTTGATGCTGTGAATCGTCATTTTGCTGAGCAGAGGCTGCCTGAGGAACCCAGAATCAGGCCCCATGGCCTTCCTCCTGCCTACCTGACACCCTCCCTGCTATGCCCTGGCTGAGGCCCCTGCCTACCCTGGGCCCCCAGCTGTCCAATGGTCGGCACACCTGCCTCCCCGAGGGCCAGCTTACCCTGCACCAAATGGTGCTGACAAAGGCCAGGCCAAAGTCGATGGCTTGAATCAGTTCCTGGAAGAAGGGATCCTCCAAGAGGAAGCGGCAGCCAAACACGAGGGTCCCAATGACTCTGGCCGTGGACGTGACAATGTGTACCCGAGGGTCGAAGGGTCTACCTGAGAACAGAGAGGCAGGGCTCAGGGCGAGGAGGCAAAAAGAGCACTGCCCTGAGTGTTCATCCAGTCTGTATAAGGTCACTCATTGCATCACTCATTCATTCCCAGTCTTCAGTCATTCACTCAGCAAATGCTTACGGAGCAACTTCTATGAGCCAGGCTTGGTGACAGGCGCTGGGTTTGCAGGGAGAGGTGTGGGAGACAGACCCATTTAAACACACTAGAACGTGGGGCAGGTATGTCCCAGCTGGGAACAAAGGATGCAGGGACCAGCTGTGCCTGGGATTTGGGGAGGGCTTCTTAGGCAGGTGATGTCAGCCAGGTCTGAAAGGAGCAGTGGTTTCTCACAGGGAGGAAAGGGGAGTGGATTAGGACATTCCAGAGGGGGAACAGCATGTGCAAAGGGTCTGTGGTATAAAAGGCTCAAGATGTTGAGGGAGGACATTTCCCCATCTGTAGAGAAGGGCTTCAGGCTTCTCAATGGACTGGACGTTCCTGGGCCTCTGTCTGCCCACTTGCCCACCTTACAGAAACTCCTGATTTATTGATGTAGCACAAATCCCCTACTGGACCCGCAAAGGGTCCACCCCTTTACACACACACACACACACACACACCCGAGGGCTCAGCCTCCTTGCAGGAGTGTGCTTGTTTGTTGTGGAGGGATTAGGGTGGTCTTGCCCCAGCCGCTCCTTACCCTGCTCCTGGTGGAAGCCCTCTGCCAGCTCTGCCGCCTCTCCCTGCAACTGCAGCTCCAGTGCCAGCTTGCCTAGGCCTAGCTCCCGAAGCGTTGCCAGGCAGAAGCGTCTCTGCTGCCTCCACGTGTGCCCATTGCTGCAGATGACCCCTGGGCCCAGGTTGGGGGACAGTCAGCAGCCCATCCCAGCCTCCCAGGCCAGGGCCACCTGGCTCTCACTCAGGCAGGGAGAGCAGACCCCTGGGCAGCCTTCCCAATCAGCTCGCGGCTGGTGTTCTGACCGAGGGGCATTTGGCGGTCATGTGGTCCGTGGGCCTGGTACCATCAAGGTGAGCTCAGCTATGCCCTCCTCCCAAGCTGCCAATCTGATTTTGCCTTTAAGAGTCCCTACAAGAAATGGAGGAGGAGATAAAGAAGGGAAGGGAGGACGGAGCCTGGAGGGGAGGAGGCGGGGGGAAGGGCATTTGCTGAGCCAGGCGCTGTCCTGGGCACTCTTGGCTGTAGGGCTCACTTAATCTCCCCCACATCCCGAGGAGGCGAGAGCAGCCACTATCCCCATCTAACAGATGGGCACACTGAGGGACGGAGAGGGAGGCTGCCTCGCCCGGTCACACAGCTGGCAGGGGCACAGCGGAGACTTGACTCAGGTCTTTTTGACCCTCCAGAGCTGGTTCCTTCCCATGCTGCCCCCTCCCCTCGCACAGCGGTGTTTGAGGAGACCCGAGTCCTCCTGGCAGATTCCTCCCTGTTAACAGTTCTGGGTCACCCCAGGGGACTCCTGGGTGCAGTCACCATCCAGCCACCCCGTTCCCAGCAGAGAGGGTAGCCTTGCCTCTTTCTCCAAACACGTCCCGGAAGAGCGGGGTGAGGGGCCGGCCTGAGAACTGCTCCGAGTTGGAGACCAGGGCTTCCTTCACCACCCAGAAGCCACTCAGCACCACCACGGGCGTCGGGCCCACCCACGTGGTGAACACGTTGCCGTGAGCCTGGGCCAGATGCGGAGAGACAGGGTCCCAGGGCTGCAGAGAAAGCTCAGCTGGCCCCATTCCCGGGAACCTTCCTCTTGGCATGAATCTCCACCTTCTCGCACCCAACACTTACCTCGGGTGCACCTTCTCAGAGCACCCGCCACCCCATTCGTCAGACAAGCCAAACCCTGGGTTCCCACAGCCAGCACTAGTGCCAGCTGGGGTCACATCACAGGCTCCCTGAGCACCTAGAATAGTCAGGGCCCAGCACTTACACATACGGCGTCTGGTTTGGACCCCAAGGATCCTGGGAGGTGGGTATGCTCTACCCATTTTACAGATAATAGTCAATTATAACTATACTTTCTTCAGGGCTCAGTGTCCAGTGTGGCCTTTACATATATTACTTGAGTGCACTTTCAGTATAAGTGTGCGAGGTAGGTATCATAATCTCTAGTTTATGAAAATGGAGGCCAGGGAATTCCCTGGCGGTCCAGTGGTTAGGACTTGACACTCTCACTGCCAGGGGCGTGGGTTCAATCCCTGGTCGGGGAATGAAGATCCCGTAGGCTTCACGGTGTGGCCAAAAAAAGAAAAAGAAAAACAAAGAAAGAAAATGGAGGCCAAAAAAGAAAGCAAAAGACCAGGGGTCATACCCAGGTGTCCCGACTCTCAGTGCAGTGCTTTTCCTACTACATGAGGAGCCTGGGGATCGTGGTCATCTAGAATCTTCAACCAGAATTTTATAAAATACTTAGTCAACATTGATGACAGCTGAGCATTGTCATGGGGAGGGGAATTGTCTCCTCCAGTTCTCAGCAATAAGTCGGCTCTGGCCCGGATTTCAGACCCCCCACTCAGGGCAACAAAACCCTCCCACTGGTGGGATCCACCCACCCTAGAAGGGGGCTTGGTGTAGCAGTGCTACCTGAGTGTGCCCTCGGGGGTCCCATTCTCCCCAGTTCCCATCTCAAGTGGTTTTTCAGAAAATTCCTTCCAGCCACAAACAGTGCTCTCCTGGAGCAGAGTCCTGTTAAAGAGTGTTCTCCACCTCATTACATTGGCAGTGGAGCTCTGCCGCAGAAACCTCTTGGGTGACCTCTGTGCAAAGTTTTTTTTTTTTTTTTTTAAATATTTATTTACTTATTTATTTGGTTGCTCCAGGTCTCAGTTGTGGCATGTGAACTCTTAGTTGCCGCATGTGGGATCTAGTTCCCTGACCAGGGATTGAACCCACGCCCCCTGCATTGGGAGCGTGGAGCCTTAGCCACTGGACCGCCAGGGACGTCCCTGTGCAAAGTTTTTACATTCAATGTTTGCAATCCCCCAACAACCCTGCATTTGACAGATGAGAAAACTGAGGCTTGAGGTCATAGAGCAAGTGAGTGGCAGGTGCAGGATTCACCTCCCCAGGCGTGTCTGAGCCCAGTTCCTTGCTTCTAGTGTCCCTGGGCTGAGGGGGAGGGTCCATGTGCCCCCCTCTCCGGAGGGCCTCCAACTCAGGACGGATTCCCTACCTGGAGAAGTGTCTCTGGGTGCAGCTGAAAGCTTAGTTGCCATAGGTTTCCAAGGATGGGGAAGGGGAAAGGACCAGGAGGAACGGGGCTCCTTTCCCAGTAGATGGTGCCAAGTTTCAAGAGCAGGAAGGAGACAGCCAGCAAAGCCAGCCCGCTGAGCAGGGAGAACATCTTGGGCCTGCACGTCCCTCACCCCTTTGCCTCCAGCCCTGGGCTGCCAGTGCGCTCCAGCCTTCTCTTTAGCTCTGTCCGGCCACCCTCCTCTCCAGCGCCTTCTGACCTCCGCTGTTATCCCAGCACAATCAGGCAGTGTCACGTTGGGAGGCAATCCCAGGAGTCTTCTCACAATGGAGTAAATCCACTTGGTCACGCTAGTCACACCCAGGCCTGGCTACTCAGCAGGGCCACAGGGCCCCGGCCTGGGACAGGTTGGGACAGCTTCATTCCCAGAGCAGCCTCACCTCTGGCCCATGGAGCTCAACCCCAGTCAAGGTCCTCTCGGCCTCTTCCTGCGAGTCTCAGCCGACCGCCTGGGTCAGCTCGGCGAGGGACGGGGCAGCCACTGGCAGCGGCGGTGTCTCCCCTTGGGATATGCTATTCTGGCTCAGCATGATGCAGACTGCGCTCATCTTTCCTGCTCCCCTCTGCCCAGGTGCTAAACAGTGTCTCTGGAGGCCTCTCCAGCCTCCCAGTCACCCCCACCCCTGCTCCAGCCTCTGGTCAGCTTGAACTCTTCACCTGCCCGGGATCCCCGTGTTTGTCAGTTGTCACTTTCTGTAGCCTTTGCTTTTATCTCAGCTGACCTGGAGCCAGATTGCTGAGTCGAAATCCTAGTTCTCCCCTTACTAGGTGAGGACCTTGGGTAAGTTATTCAGCCTCCCCCTGCCTTGGTTTTCTCATTTGTACAATGGTGATGATAATTTTAGGCACTGCCTCAGAGAGTTGTTGTACCAGGTGTGGCGGGAGATAAATGGTTCACTCAAGTTGAGTAAATTGAAGATAGTTTAAGAGAGATTTACAAAGGTGTGTGGGCAGGAGGTAGTGGAACCACAAGGCACGGTGCAGTGCTCCAGGGTAGCCACGCGGGGGGAGTCCTGCCCACTCAAGGCTGAGAAGGAGAGGGGCATCGATTAACCCGTGTGGAGTTTCAGTTCAGATAGATGGAAAAGCTCTGGAGATGGATGAGGGTGATGGCTACACGACAAAGTGAACGCACTTAATGCCACTCAACTGTACACTTAAAAATGATTAAAATGTGGGAAATTCCCTGGCGGTCCAGTGGTTAGGACTCCTTGCTTGCACTGCAGGGGGCCCAGGTTGGATCCCTGGTCGGGGAACTAAGATCCTGCGAGCTGCACGGTGTGGCCAAAAAAAAAAAAAAAAAAAAGATTAAAACGGTAAGCTTTATACTGTGTATATTTTACCACAATTTTTAAAAAAGCCAAGGGACAGAGACATCAGTAGAGGAGCCTGGAGCCCTTAGTTTGGTGGAGACCCACCAGTGACTCTTGGTGGATCACTGACAAGAACTCTGGCCTTCAGTAGTGAGATGCAGCTGGTTTATGGCAATCCTGCAGAAAATAAATACCCCATCCTCACTCTGCTCTACCCTCTGATGTCTGTAATGTAATGTGCCTCCCATTGGTCAAATCCAATTAGAAGCTGGAGGGCAAGAAATCCTGTAGAAAATGTAAAATGGTGCAGCTGCTTTGGAAACCCTCTAGCAGTTCCTCAAATGGTTAATCATAGAATTAGCACATGACCCAGCGGTTCCACTCCTAGGTGTATACCCAAGAGAAATGAAAATATATGTTCACACCACAATGTGTACACAAGTGTTCATAGCAGCATCATCCATAACGGCCAAAAATGATGAATGGTCCATCAACTGAGGAATAGTTCTCAGACTTCACTCTGCATGTGGAAACCCTGCACTAATCTCTCCATCCACACAGTCAGTCCTTCCCCATCTCTATGCCTTTGCTCATGTAGTTCCCTCTGCCTGGAGGCCCTTCCCCCAAGTCTCCTCCTCTAGAAGTTCCATCTATCTTCAAGGCCTCTCTCACCTGGATGTGATGACAAGGATGCTCCCCTCACAGGGCTGTTGGGAGGATGAGCTGAGACAATGTGAGATGCAAGTGCTTGTGGATAATGTACACACTGGTACAAATACTGTTACTGCTGCAATTTCCACAAAACTGCTGGCTTCCGCTTTTTATAAGTTGCCTTCCCCTCTTCAACATGTCATGTTCCTTCTTCCTCAAATTGTTGCTTAAGAGCCTACACTTCTCGAAATGCTTCTCTAGCCAACCTCGCCGGTCTCTATCCACTACCTCCAAACACCCCAACCCTCTCCCACAGTGGTCCTTGCCTTGGCTCTGTTAACTACATGGGTGTCCACTCCATCTCTTCCACAATATGACAAGGTCCTAAGGGCCTTTCTTTGGGTTTCTCCAACAGTGTCACCCGATTGCTCAGAGTCCCAAGGTGCCATTAGGTAACGTGGACTTACTAACAGAAGGACCTGGTGGCCCCCCAGGCCAGTCCCACTGCTCACTTTCCTCTGTGTGAGCACACCAGTGTCCACTGCATGAGAGCTCCTGCATGGTGGTCCTTCCACACACGTCTAGACATTTGCTTTACCCCCTTCTCTCCCCCACTGCAGTGTGGGGACCTTGGAATATCTCACATATAACCTAGTGCACCGTTGCAGCCTTTGAGTTAACTCAGATGGTTTTGGTGGTTTGGGCACATGGGGATGGTGTTCTGGGGACGGCTGGGGTGGGTGGTGCTGGCAGGCATGAGGGTTTTAGTAGAGGCTTTTGCACAAATGCAGGGAATTGGGCAGTGGCTGTGACGGTGACTCTGGTTTGGGAGATTGTCGTAGGATAGAAAGATGGGTCGGTCCTCTGTCTTGTGACCCACGGACCACATTTCATTCGGGTCCAGCTACATTCTGGGTGTCTTGGCTAGGTAGGAATGTTTCTCAGAGCCTCCTCAAAATCAGATATAGCATTGGAAGCCTTTTCTTTAAGACACAGAAATTTATTCCCCTAATGGGAGACTTGCCTGGTCAACATTTCTAAGTGTGTTGAACTTTGACAAACTTCCTCCCCTCCTTCTGGCTCCTGAGGGTGGGATGTGGCTCCTGGAGGAGAGACACACACAGCACACAGGGCCAGACCGCAATCCGATTCTGGGGATGGCAGGTCCAGGACCTGGAACGGAGGCTCCAGGACACTAACCCCCTCCTCATTGCTTGGCCAAGGCCCTCAGTGTTACACTGTGAGGTGTGGGCTCCCCAACAAGATGGTGGAGGTAGGCCACACGGTTCCCACTTAGAGGGAAGTCCCCATGCAGTGTCTGATCCTGGGGTAGCCCACCCTCAAGTCATACCTTCAGAGATGGTCCCCTTATGATTCCAGCCACCATCACCATCCAGGCCATGGGGCTCCCTGTTTCCTGTTTAGAATTCTAAGCCAAGGGCAGACAAAGCTCAGACCCCCATCTCTTATTCCTCTAGGAGCGACTCAAATCAACTAAAGATGTCTTGGCTGAGAA